TTAAAATCATGATATTTAAATTCTCGATGCCGGAGGTCAACGTCTAAATGGATAGGAGGGTGTTGTCCAGTCTCGGAACAGTCCATTATGGGTCACATTTCGATAATTCGAACAGTTCTTTTTGCCGGGCATGCTGCGTATATTATTCACACAAAAAAATTAGATAAATCCAATAATCGTAATCTATTCAATTTATCTCGTTTGTTTCAACCAAAAAAATAAAAATTGAATGGTTTGTTTTGAAAAAACATAATTGTTGACCATTTTCTAATGACAAAAACGATAAATTAAATAGATTACGATTATCAAATCAATCTAATTTTGTGTGAATGATATATACGAAGTGTCCGACAAAATGAACAATTCATATTATCAAAATAAGATCCCGCGACCCATGATGAGTTCCCATTAATTAAGATTATGGACTAAAAGGAATCCTCCCTGGATGCCTAGTACTTAAAAAATAAAAAACAAAAAAACTTGGCATCGTCTTAAATAAGAGTAGTAGCAATAAGGGTTAATTATACTTTTCACCTCTATAGTTTCAATATGAACAATTCGATTCCTACATTATAAGTCTAGTTTAATTTGGTTTTTTTATCTAATTTTTTGTTAATTTTATTTACATGTGCACTTTAAAAAATTGACGATTATTCTAAAATTGTTAATTCTAACCTCCAATTAGATGAAAAGACCAAATTAAAACTATATTTTAAGTGTAGGAACTAAACTATTCAATTTAAAATTGGTAAATTACACTTTGACTTTTTATGTTTGATCATTTTTCCTCGATTGGCCCTTACGTTTGTTTGTTAGCTATTTTTTTTTTTATTTTTTTCATTTTGGCCTTTTATGTTTCAAGTATTCCCCCCTCCCCAAAACCAAATTAAAACTATATTTTAAGTGTAGGAACTAAACTATTCCATTTAAAATTGGTAAGTTACACTTTGACTTTTTATGTTTGACCATTTTTCCTCTATTGGCCCTTACGTTTGTTTGTTTGCTATTTTTTTTTAAATTTTTTTCATTTTGGCCTTTTATGTTTCAAGTATCCCCCCTCCTCCCCGCGCGTAATTTCCTCTTAAGGCTTACTCAAGTAAAAAGTTAGATAGGAAATAACACATTAATAGTAGCATGGTATAAAAATATTTTATTATATATAAATCACACCTCTAACACAAACTCAAGTCTTAATACAATAATATTTTTTTATGTCACGTACCAGTTAGTGTGACATCTTCTATCTAATTTTGAATAGAAGTTAGTCTTAAGAGTAAATTGAAAAAAATTTAAAACGTGAAGGGTTAATGTGAAAAAAAAAAAACTTCAAAAACTAAAGTGAAAAAATGATCAAATATGAAAAGACAAAGTGTAATTTACCCATTTAAAATCATAAAGGTTAATGCAAAATTTAAATAAAAATATAAAAGTGAAAAAATGTGATTAAGCTTTGGCGTGTTTATACAAAAACCTCCTAAACTATTGAGAAATATCACTTTAACCCCTAAATTATAAAAACATACAAATAGACTATCTAAACTATTGAGAAATATTATTGTCCCTTAAAATATAAAAGCGTATAAATGAACCCTCTAAACTATTAACGTGTTTCACTTTGATTTATTCCATTAGAGCATCTCCAAATTTTTACCTTTTCTTTTATCAAATTTAAATTTGATGAAAAAGTATTCAAAAATTATCTCAAATCCTTTCATAAAAGAATAAATTACAAATATACCTCCTTAGGTTTGCTTAAAATACGAATTGCCTCTATGATTTTAGAAATTACATCTCAACCCCTTTTATCAAGAAATTATCAAGTTAATTAAAAGTTTTTATTAATGTCAGAAATGTATTTCAATTAATAATTTAGCTATTTATTATTGTAGAAGAGAATAGTTAGGAATTTCATTTTTGTAGTTAATTCCGTTAAATAAAAAATTCTTATAATGGGGTATTTGTAATTTTCCAAATCACATGGGGCAATTCATATTTTAAGTACACCTCAAGGGATATATTTGTAATTTACCATTCATCAAATGTTCATGAAATTAAAGGAGACTCATTTTTTTTCATTAAATTGAGAACTTGTCAAATTCTTTATCAAATTTGAATTTAATAAAAATTTGAAAAGACAAAGCATTGGAGATAATTGCTTTTCATCAAATTTGATGAAAAGTGAAATTTAGGATGAGAATTCAAATTTTAAAAAATATTTTGATGAAAATATTGAAATAGTTCATATCAAATTAAATTTATTTTTTTACTTAAATTTAAAATCAAATTAGATAAAAAAATTCAATAAATAATTTAAGATGGTCTTAAGACATCCAATTTATACACTTTTATAATTTATAGAATTTATTTATAAAATTTTATAATTTAAAAAATTAAAATAACACTTGTCAATAATTTAAGACTAATATTATATGCACAGATTAGTGTAATAAGTAGTGTACTAATTGATAATGTGGTATAATTTAAGTAATTTTTGATATTTATAATTTGTATAATGAATGAGATCAATAATAATATCATAACTAGTGTTGATATATTAGTTAGAATACTAATTGATACATGTAACATCACTTTTTATTTTTAATATGACTTGATGAGAATTAAGTTTAATATCTATTGATAATGTGGGTGTTTGGGAAGTGAGTTTTTTTGTAGGTTTTTTTAGTTGTAAGATATTATTGGAGAAATTTTTTTTTGTATTTAAGAAGATAGTTGAGTTTTTTTGTGGTTAGATGTGATGTTTATGAGAGAAAATGTGAAATGATTATCGGGTTTGATGTGATATTTTGTTTGAATTTGTTTTTTTTTTTTATTTTGTAAAACATTTATTTTGTAGTAAAAAAATAAAAAATAAAAACTCAAAAACTAAATTGCCAAACAACGCCAATTTATTCTTAATTAATTTATTTATTTTTTTAAAAAAGGATTGACATTCCAAAGTCAACCGAAGTCTTTCATATATATAAATCGATTTTTTTTTATTTTATTTTAAGCCGAACTATACGGGATATCTCGTATTGGTCCGCTTGGTAGAGTTGTGGGAAAATGATTATAACTTATACTTTAATAATTTATAACTTATAACTGTAAATATAAACTACTTTTTGACTTATAAGGGATACAAAGTCTTACTAAATAATTTTTTTTTAAATTAAAAGAATTTTTCTTAGTTATGAACAGATTTAACTAAAATCAGCTTGTTTCCTAATGTTATGCTTCATTTATTTAGATAGAAAATATTTTTTATAAAAAAAATTCAAAATATATTTTTTTATATTTGGTGGTGGTGGTGATGGAACGAAGGTGAAAGTAGAGATTGTGACATAGTGGTGGGGTGATGGCGGCAGTGATGATGGTAGTGGCTATGGTGATGGTAGTGTGACAGTGAAGGTGAGAATAGTGGTAATGGTGTTGTGAAATTAGTAAAAAATTAATTGAAAAAACATTTTTTGTTTTTTAAAAGTAACAAACAACAAACTTCGTGGGGGACTAAAGGAAGAAGATGGAGGATGGATTGGGTGTGGTAATGCATAGATATCTTAAAATGAGTGGTTCAGATTTGTTAAATGTATAATTAGATTTTGGATAAATTAAAATGAATGGTTCAAATTTGCTAAGAGAAAGATGGCTTAATGTCTAAAATATCCGTGACTAAGAGATCAACAAACAATTCCTTATTTATACCCTGATGTAATTTAATATGGGTCTTATAACACTTTCTTAAAACAGGTTCTTTCACATTTTATTTCTTCAAACATGCTCTTATAACATTGTAATCAGATTCTTGTAACATGTAAGGGAGAGAGTGAGAGTGAGAGTGAGAGTGAGAGAGAGAGAGATGGTTGTAATTTTTTTTTAATCTTCCACGTTCTTCAACATTTTTTTTTTCAATTACTAAAACTTATTTGATTGTCTCAAAATTATATATTTAATTATTATAAAACAAACTTTTTAATTAATTAATTAATGTGTATTTGATTTTGTTGTTGAACCAAATAAAATAAAATAAGATTGAATGTATATTTAGCTTTTGTTGTGAACCTTAAAAAAAATAATAAATAAATAAATAAGTTGTTAACATTAAATATATTAAAAAAGAAAGAAAAAAGATTGAAGGTATATTTAGCTAAAGGGGGATGCACCAATAAATCCCAAATTAATAACTTATGCACTGTTTAGTCCTAAAAGTTTTCTTATAGACTGAAAGGTCCCATTACAATGTTAATAACATCAGATACAATGTTAATAACATCAGAGTCATGTTACAAACATTGGATTTCAAACATCTAATGTTCATCAAATTTCAATAATGTTTGAAAATATAGGATGAAAAACATCTAATGTTCATCAGATTTCAATAAATTTTGAAATTATAGAATGAAACATCAGATCATTTACATCATTCACATCATGTTGATGTAAAAATGGGACTAAATGGAGCATAAGAAAACTTTTAGGACTAAATGGTTCAACGTTTCAAAAACTAGGACTTATGGGTAAATTTTCCTTAGCTAAAACCTTTATAAAAAAAAGAAGAAGATTGTTAACATTAAATATATTAAAAAAGAAAGAAAAAAGATTGAAGTTATATTTAACTTTTGTTGTGAACCTTAAAAAAAAAAAATTGTTAACATTAAATATATTAAAAAAGAAAAAAAAAAAGATTGAAGGTATATTTAGTTTTTGTTGTGAACCTTAAAAAAAAAAAGTGGTTGTTAACATTAAATATAAAAAATAAAAATGGGGATTAAAGTGGGTGGGAGAAAATCCATACCCATTAAGAAATAGGGAGGATGGTACCCATGAGAAATAGGAAAAATTTATTATAAAAAAATGAGGATGAGAAATTAATATCAACCCCATTATCTCCGTTGCCATCCCTAATAACTATGCATTTTTAAACTAAAATAAACACTCACCAACTAGGCCTAATTGATACATATATATGCTTGGGGTGAATAAACAATAAATAAAGTGGATATAGAACAAACAAAGAATACAGTCAAATTCACGAGTCTTCACTCAAACTCCTCCTATCCTAGTCAATTTTCAACACTCAACTGTCGGTCGGTGTTGCGAGCGAGCGTGATTCCTTCAATCTCTCCGCCCCCACCCTTCTCTCTCTCTACTCTCTCTCCTCCGACAAAAACACTCCAATTTTCCGCCATCACCGCTTTCTTCAAGCCCCACCAGTCCCCCTTTTCACGCTCTCTCTCTGAAATCTATTCATGTTTGATTCGATTTCTAGCCACTTTTCCTTTTGTTATTCGGTTTCTACTTTGCTCACTCAGCCAAATCTTCTTCCATGATGACTTTGATTTGTACATAAATTCTCTACATTTTTTTTAAAATTTTATTTTCTTATAAAGGGTTTTTGTAGTTGAAACGGAACAGAAGGGAATGGTGATTCCCAGGAAGATGTTTAATTTTTTAGTGAGGAAAGATGTCAGGAAAATTCTCAAGCGTAAGGACAGTGATGCTGGTGAGAGAGGTAACACTTTTTCCATCCAATTTTCTTGCAGTTTCTTTGGTTGGGGTTCTGGGTTTTCACCAATTTTCTCATTTTTATGCAATGCAGTTGTTTTTATAGTGGTCCTTTGCTCTTTTTTTTTAGTGGGTATTTGTTTTATTTATTGGATTTGATTGGTCTGAAGAGGAATTTGGTTTTTGAGAAGGAACATGAAAGAGGGTTTAGTGTTCTCTGTTTGTAGCTTGATGTTGTTCTATTAGTTTTAACAGACTTAAAATTCTTTTTTTTAAATGTAATTTTGTTTTGGCATCGATGTGAAGTGCATTTGGCTTGGCGTATTGTGCTGGTGTTGCATGTTGTTTAACTTTGAAACTTGAGCACAAAACTTGAAATAAAAAAGAAAAAGGAAAAGAAAAAAAACTGTGAAACAATATTCTACTAGATGATGAAATAGGGAGATTTTCCAAAGTAATACCTTATCCAGTATTTTCAAGAAATTTGTCTTCCAAGTTCATTCTAATTTAGAGGTTCCCTTGCAGCAAGTCAGACCAGTAAATGTGTTACGCCCCCCTAAATAATAACAATAACCCATATGATAATATTCTGTAGAATTGATCACTACCATTATATTTAACATTTCCATTTATACTCCTTGATCATACAAAAAATGACATATGCGTGTATACATTCATAAATCTTAGATCCTAAATCTATAACATATGATATGTGTACATGAATTGAAATAAAAGAAGAATTAAATAAGTTTATGTCCTAATGGTTGCATCTTTCCAAGTCAATGCTTGGGTACAACAAATGAGTTCAACTCAATACAGCCAAGGCATGTACACAAATAATTACATCAATAGAAAGCAAAAGAAGCTTTTGGTTCTAAGTCCTCCCAAGTTATGTCCTTGGTGGAGGCATGTCATCAGCATTTGAAAGTTATTTTTCACATAGGGTGAGCTATAGTTCGGTAGAGATATTTTAACACAATGTATAAACCTTAGCAAAGTCATAAGGTGAATGCATATGCATGCCATTTGTCAACGTTTTACATTTCCATTTCAAAACAATGCAATGGCATGATTATATATCAATTCATGAAGAAAAAAAAAATCATTTTATATCAGAAAACAAGGTAGTGGATATAAAATACTGAGAATCTCTAGGTACATATCTACCAGTAGGCTATACAAGCACTACCAACTCCACCCTCATCATCAATAGATACATTCATTTCAAAACCCAACATCTTTTCCCTTTTCTTTTATAAACCAAATAACAATGATTTTTGAACAAAACCTCCTTTATTTTCAAAATAACATTTAAGTAAAGAAATTCTATATTTCAACATATCTCAACCATAAACACATTCCCATAACCTTTCTCAAGCACCCATTTCAAAACCCTCTTTTACATTTCAAAATCAAACCCTAGGTTTAATTCAAAATCTCCCAAATCACTAAATTCTTTCAATGAACAAATAACTGGACTAAAAATCATGCCAAAGGTTGAAGAAATCCCTACCTCAAGATTAGAAGAAGAAAAGAGCAAGGGTTGAAGTTTGGCGGAGTAAAAAACAATATCCTCTCCGATTAAAACGAAACTTTCTACGAGCTCTACCTTTTTTACTAAGAAACTAGGGTGGAGAAATCAATGAATTGAGAGTATTAAGGGTTTTACGGCAAAAACTAAAGAGAGTGTGTGAAGAATTTACGGTTTAGAATGTTTTAGAGAGAGAGAGAGGAAGTGAAAAAGTGATAAAATCTCCCTTTTTCCGATCTGATATATGCATAGATCGCTCGAGCGTCAGACACAATAAGTGACACTACTCGAGCGACCAAAACACCACTCAAGCACAAGAAATACCGCTCGAGCTAATACACCCCACTTCCAGAAGTTTACAGACTTATAAAAAAATACTGGGAGGTTTCAAAGACTGCTCGAGCGATCAAAACACCGCTCAAGTGAACAAGAAGTAAATTGGACGGCAATTCCTTTGAAAAATTAACTCTTTAACCTGTTTCAAACACAACAATAACTCCCAAACAACCAAACTCAGTTAGCAATAATAGTAAGAGGTTATAAAAAATAGTTAAAGGTATGGAATTCCGTATTTAAGAACATGAAAAGGGTCGGGTCTGAGCCTGAACCGTTATAATCTCCTTCCTTAAGAAATTTCGTCTCCGAAATATAAATCAAAGCAATAACCACCGGATTTAAATCAAATTATTGACCATCCACACTTGCTACAATGATAAATAGTCTTTCAACACAAAATATTACAGTTCAACTTTCCAAAACATTTATAATGTTTACATTTCACAACATGAATAAGATTTTCAATACAAGTCTCAAACATCAACAAACAGGTCTGAATACTTCTCACGGACTTCCACCTTACGCTCCCAAGTTGCCTCTTCAACCCCATGGTGTCGTCACAACACCTTAACCAATGGAATAGTCTTGCCTCTCAAGACTTGATTTCGCGTATCTAACACCTGAATTAGTCTCTCCTTGTACGAGGCATTCTCATCTACTTCTAACTCGATCCAATCTAACAAGTGTGAAGGATCATGTTTGTACTTTCGGAGCATATAGATATGAAACGCGTCATGAATCCCGGAAAGTTAGGGCGGCAAGGCCAAACAGTAAGCTATCTCCCCAATCCGCTCTAGAATCTCAAAAGACTCAATAAATCTAGGAGACAACTTTCTGCTCTTCCCAAATCTCATCAAACCCTACCTTGGTGATATTTTAAAAAACACGTGATCTCCCACCGCAAAAGATAAAGGTCTCATTCTACAGTCAGCATACCTTTTGTGACGACTCTGAGTTGAAACCAACCTCTTACGAATAAGCGCGACCCTTTCTGTTATTTCCCGAACTAACTTTGGGTCTAACACAGGTGCATCACCCACATCGGCCCAACACACGAGATTTACACAGTCGACCATAGAAGGCCTCAAAAGGTGCTATATCAATACTCGCCTAAAAATTGTTATTATAGGCAAACTCCAACAAAGGTAAATGTCTCTCTCACCACCCCTTAAAGTTGAGAATGCAAGCCCGAAGCACGTCCTCTAAGATTTGAATGGTATGCTCGGACTACTCGTCAGTCTGAGGTTGATAGACAGTGCTAAACGTCAACCTAGTGCCCAATGCATTTTGTAGGCTTTGCCACGACCGAGCTGTGAAAAGTGGATCTTTATCCAAGACAATAGTCACAGGGGGACCCCATGAAGTCGAACTATGTTTGTAACATAAAGGTCAGTAAGATAATCTGTCAAGTCACTTGTGTGCATAGGTACAAAATGTGCTGATTTGGTTAACTGGTCGACTATTACCCACATAGCATCATTACCTCATTGAGTCATCAGAAGACTCACAACAAAATTTATCGTGACATGCTCCCACTTCCATTCGACTATAGGCAAGGGTTGCAACAAACCCGCTAGTCATTGATGCTCAGCTTTCACTTGTTAACAAGTAAGACACCTTGAAACAAACAAGACTACGTCTCTCTTCATCCCCTTCCACCAAAACGGGCGACTAAGGTCATGGTATATCTTCGTGCCTCCCCAGTGTACCACAAGGTGTGAATGGTGGAACTCTTGGAGTACCTCCTCTTACAAGATTCTAGCACAAAAAGACGATCTAGATACCTCACACAGTAGTCAGAATACACGTCCAAGCCCTTCTCTACCTTTCCACTAGCTATCTTTCCCCAAATAGATTCCACTTCGCTATCACCCCACTGTGCTTCTATAACTCGGCTAACTAAGGTAGATTGTGCAATTGCGGTAAATAAGGTGGCCAACGCAACGAATTCGCCCATGTGCAAGTCAAACTCGCCAATAGTGCCCAACATCTCGCACTCCCAGATGGCAATATGAGCTACGCTGCTTATAGATTTCCTACTCAAAACGTCGGCCACTATGTTGGCCTTTCTCGGATGATAGTGTAACTCGAAATTATAATCCTCCATAAATTCCATCATTTTCTTCTGCCTCAAATTCAAGTCTTTCTGTGAAAACATATACTTCAAACTCTTGTGATTGGAAAACACTTAAAATCTCTCGCCGTATAGATAATATCTTCAGATTTTTAAGGCAAAAATCACTGCCGCTAATTCTAAGTTGTGAGATAATTTATCTCATGTGCTTTCAACTGACATGAGTCATACACTTTCACTTTCTCTTCTTGCATCAATACACAACCCAAACTTTCTCGAGATGCATCCCAATAAACCAAATAACACAAGCCCCTCTCCGAAATAACCAATATTGGAGCAGTGGTGAGTTTAACCTTAAGCTCTTGAAACGACTTTTCACAAGTCTCACTTCACACAAATTTAATTTCCTTCTTCGTCAAGCTAGTCAAAGGTGAGGCCAGTGTAGAGAATTCTTTTACAAAATGTCGATAATACCCAGTTAGGCCCAAGAAACTCTGGATCTCAAATGCATTTTTAGGTTGTTCCCAATCTTGCACTGCATCTATTTTGGATGAGTCTACAGTTACCCCTTCTTCGGATACCACATGGCCTAAAAACTTAACTTCTTTTAGCCAAAACTCACTTCTCGAACTTAGCATATAACCAATGTGCTCTAAGCAACTCAAATACAACCCGTAAGTGTTCCTTGTGTTCCTCCTCGGAGGGTGAGTAGATTAAGACGAAGACAACCATGAATCGATCTAAAAACTCACAGAGACTCTATTCATCAAGTCCATAAATGAAGCCAACTCGCTGGTCAACCCAAAAGGCATCACTAAGAACTCATAATGGTCATAACGCGTATGAAATGCCATTTTCTGAATATCCTCCTCTTTCACCCTCAACTAGTGATACACTGACTTCAAATTAATCTTAGAAAAACGAGGGTTCAGCTGGTCAAATAGATCATCTATTTTTGGTAATCGGTACTTGTTCTTAACAATTACCTAGTTTAACTTCCGGTAATCGATGCATAGTTGTAATGTGCCATCTTTTTTCTTAGCAAAGAGTCGGTGCTCCCCAAGGT